TTACTGTCTTTCAAAACTATTTTGTGCACATTTTTGATGTTTTCCGAAACAACTGGCGAATTTGGGCAACCAAGAGCGTTCAGCATCATCTGTGCTTGTACGAATGCGTTTAAATTCAGCATACCAGTAAATAATAGTTGATTTCATTGGGTGCAGAGTCCCCATAATGCTTATCAAGCCAGTGTTTGACTTCAACAGTATTTTTCCCCATCAAAAAAGTGTCTAATCAACACACAAAATTCCTTGGTATTCATTGTCTTGAAAATTACAAAAGTGGGGTCACTAAAATGACTGTAATTTCTAAACTAATGGTCAGAATGCTATGAAATTTTAACACGTGCTGTCTAAAGGTTAGTATTACAGGAAAATCATATGGGTTTGTCAACCATGTGTCAGACCAAAGACTTATTGAGTGACGTATTACATTCATCTTTTTGTTTAATTATAAAATTCGAGTGGGTCCTGTGTTCTATCAGATATTTTATAATCTTCATTGGTTTTATTTTGTATGTGGGTATTAAAATTAGATGGATTTTTTTTTATTGGTCTTCTTTTATTGGAAATCTTATTATTTTTTTATAGTAAATAACAAAAAAAGAGAGAGAGAGAGAAATAAACATTTATTTATTTTAAATAGCACCAACGTGAATGAAAAAGATTAAGAATTAATACAGTCAGAGATTAAATGTTTTCGATTGGGTGACTTCGTGTCGGTGTTTTTGTGTGTGTCTATGTCTATGTGTACGTGCGTGAACTCTTAATAACTTTCATATAATATGAATGAAAAGTTTTCAATGTATATATTTAAATAAACTTTTGTTAACTTTTTTTCTGTAATTTTTTTTTTTTTTTTTTATTATTTTCCATCTTTATTTCCATTTCTTTTTCATTTTGTTATTTTTCAGTATTTATTAACACATTGACCGACACTTTGTTCTTTCAATGGAAACACGTGGGTGGTGGGTTTACACGTGACCAATGTTACAGGTCAATAACGTGTTAATAAATCATATTAAATATTATTTATTATCGGAAGATAATATAAATTGAAATTCCGTTCTGGAGATGAGACCTTAAAAGACGAACCGAGTTTGCAGGGATGTATTTCCAACTTTGACGAACCTTTTAAAGGTAATATTGGAACAAAATCCAATGAATACGTCCAACTGATGCAAATAGTGCAAAAAAAGAAAAAAAAAACTCCATGAAAAGTGTGTTGTGCATTTATCAGTTACAGAAATGCCATTGTTTGTCTCCTAAAAAAAAAAAGCGGAAGTTATTAATGACTCGACTTAATACTAAAGATATCTGATAAATTGTCTTAGTCAACTAATAATATCTTGTTGACAAAGATAAAGATAAAGAAGAGAAATGGGAAGTAATTTAAGTGACAAAATAATAAAAAGGTAAAAAAGACGAAAGGGGGTTGAATGTGGGCGTTGGTTGTGGCGTTGGTGGTGGTGGTGGTAGTTTGGTAGAGTGGGAGTTGTTGGGGTTAGTGTTGGAAATTGTTGCGAGGATGCTACACCACTGAGGGTTACGGAACAAAGTCGAGGGATTTGGCCTTGGCCCGTGATGCCAAGCATCTAAACGTTCCTATATACATATACATATATATATATGTAGGTTCAACTTCTCTCTCTTTTTGGGTTGGAAGAATCCCTTATAAATAACGAGAAGATTCATGGATGCCCTTTTGGCTTTGAGGGGTTGTAGGGGGGTGTATTAGTATGGTTATCGTCATATTATATCTGTCCCTCTGTTTTTATCTTTAATAATCACGGAATAAATTTTCTTTCTTTGAGTATTATTGCAATCTTCCAAAATTTTGGATAAAATTAAAATAACAATTCCTATTTGTACGTTAAAAATAATATTAAAAAAAAATGTAGTACAAAATTGTAGTCCCAAATAATAATAAAAAAAAAAAAAACAGGAAACGAGACATAGAATTTTAATCGTGGTGTAGAACGATTGTTCGAAAAAGGGGGTAGAAAAAAAAAATAAAGAAACGAAATGTGATAGAACAGGAAGAGAATTAAATCAACAATCATCTCAAGGAGTGTAAGAAAAAAAAGAAGAAAAAAATAAAGAAGGAAGAAGTTGATTTTTAACTTTAACTCGGGGCACTAAAGCACGTAGCTACGTTGCTGAGGGTTTGTGTCGATCCCAGGGATAAAAGGGGTGTTGAAAAAGAAATGGGAAAAGACGTTGATCGGCTCCTCGAGGAGAATATTATTCTACGTTTCGAAAAGGTAGAAAAACGTTGGTTGTGTGGACGGTTCGTTCGTAATGGGGATGATGAGATGGGGGTTGGTAGTAGTAGTGGGGGATGATGGGTCCTCTATCTTCCGAAGGTACGAGCTTTCAGGGAAAGAGTAGGAGAATATTCAGGAGAATATAACCAGATCCAGTCAGCAAGTGGCCCGTACTTCTCCCCCGTCAAGGGGATGGGTTAGAGAACCCCTTCCTCCATCCACCATCCCCACTCCCACTCCGACCCCCACACCCACACCCACACCCACACCCCCATCTTCGTCGATCAATACATACAACCCGGGCGACTCTTCTCACGGAAATCAACGACTATGAGTTCTACACATACACACACATACAATTTCACTAACATTCTTCTATATCATCCCACCAATCAACTATTTTCTTATTTATTTTATTTTCTTGTTTCTTTTGACATCCGATTTTTCTCGATTTGATTATATTTTAATAAATTGTATATTAAATAAAATAATAAATTAAATATATTTGCATATTCAATAAAATAAAATAAATTGTATAATAAATATAATATAAATTAAATACATTTGCATATTCAATAAAATAAAATATTAAATAAAATAAAATAATATNTATATTAAAATATATAAATATATCAAAAAATATAATATAAATTAAATATGAAAATTTATTATATTAAAATTAATAAATATAATATAAATTAAATATAAAAATTAATTATATTAAAATTAATAAATATAATATAAATTAAATATTAAAACTAAATATATTAAAATATATAAATATATCAAAAAATATAATATAAATTAAATATTAAAATTAATTATATTAAAATATATAAATATATCCAAAAATATAATATAAATTAAATATGAAAATTAATTATATTAAAATTAATAAATATAATATAAATTAAATATGAAAATTAATTATATTAAAATATATAAATATATCCAAAAATATAATATAAATTAAATATTAAAATTAATAAATATAATATAAACTAAATATTAAATATTATTATAAATACGAGTCCCCTACGTATATACCCTCCAGTGTAATCAAAAACGACCATTGTGGGTCATATCTGACCAACATGGTAGTTAAAAGTGTTAAATAATTGTTCATTCGATAAATCAAACTAATTCTGATCTAAAAATAAATAAAAAAAAAAAAAGGAATAAGAAGAAGAAAAAGATTGTCGGTGAGTGACCGAATTTCAACTTCCTGACATCATTTTTATTTGATTTAGGTCAATAATCGATTTGACTACTTATGTAAAGTTATCGACTGTGGTAGAGAAAGTTCGACATCATACTCGATGTAGGATTTCCGTTTTTCGTGGCCCTAAAAGGGAAACGATGATTTCCGTATTAGGGGTGTCATCCCCTTTCTCCTACTCCTACTTTTCTTGTAAATCAATTGGATATTTTCAACTTGGTTTTGAATGATAAGAAATAGAGACTGAAACGATTGATTGAAGTGATAAGAACACGTGTTTTCTCGATTTCCATGTATCTTGCATTTAAATACCTTGTACGTGACCTCATTAATTAAGGTGTATCGTTTCCTTTTAAGTAATTGGATAGAAACTTCAAACTGTAATTTATTATCGTGGAAACTTAGTTATTTGATGTATTTATTGTAACTTATTTTATTTATCAATGAAATTATAACGTGCAGGAGATTTATGTTAAATTAATGAAAATATAGTTCATACACACACACACACACACTATATATATATATATATATGATAGATATTATTAATATAATATAATAATTATAATATTAAATTATGTTATATATTAATATTTTAAATATAATTATAAATTTATAATTTATGATATTATATTTAATTCAATATTTATAAATTAATATAGATAGAATTAAATATTATATATATATATATATATATAATATACTATAAATAAATAATTATATATAATTTAAATATTTATAAATTATAAATATTATAATACTCTATTTCTAATTTTTATAACACTATACATATTTATATATCAAATATAATTACAAATTTACAAATTATAATATATATAGTATTTATAATATTGTATTATAATTTATAATTTAAATTATAATATTATATATAATATTATAATAATTATAATATCATAATTTATAATTTAAATTACAATATTGTATATAATTTATAATTTAAATTACGTAATATTATATATTAATAATATATTTATTTTATATATAATATAAAATAAAAAATATATATATATATATATATATTCATAGAATATTTATGAAATTATATTATAAGAAAATAACTTAATCCATGAGACTTAACACTATTACATTTGCATTTCAAATTAACCATAATAATTCGAAATTTTATATTCAAATAATATACGAGAATAATAATTGATTATATTATTATTTAATATAAATATAATAATAATGATAAAACAAAATAAACTTGAAAATCTAAGAATATTATTTAATATTATTAATAATCTTGACGTGGGATAAAAATATCACGAATGAATGAAAGTGTTGTTCCCCCTTTCATAAATCTTTCTTTAGTATCTATTATCTCGTATAAGTAAAGGTGAGGGTGACATGGTGACGATGAGGATAAGGTTGAGGTTTAGGTTGAGGTTGTGGATGAGGGTAATACCTGACATGAATATCAAACCAGTACCAGATCAACGTTATGGTTCATCAAGACTTGATATTTGATTTCTTTTTTTTTCTTTTTATTATTTCCACAGTCCCACAAAAGGAGGTAGCAAGTTCGATATGCTCGTTGGTGTTAAATCTCAAATGACTGGCTGGCTCAGCAGTGGTATTCCTGGATTAAGTCGTGGTGGACCAAATGATGGTAATTCTCAAGTACCACCAACGGAAACAAATGAAATTGAAAATGTTCAAGATCCCCAGGAGATCACGACAGAACAAACTAAGGACGACGATGCTAGCAGGTATTTTAAATGATTGAACTTTTTACATCATTTTTCTTTTCTTCTTCTTATTCTTCTTCTTCTTCTTCTTCTTATTTTTCATTTTTCATTCCCTAACTCTTCAATCTTTGATCAATGATGAAAGAACACAATTAAAGAAAAAACCCAAAAGAATCAAATCATAGACAAAATTAGATAATTTTCATATTAATGGGACCTTCTACTCTGAGCACCTAAAAAAAAGGCTATTTTCGCGAATTTTTTCCAAGAAAACTATAAAAGATATCGATCTAAAAGTTGTTGGGTTTGTTAAATTGAGTCTTAAACTATATAAATGAATTTTTATTTTTTCATTTTAATTAATTTTTTATTGCAAAAACAGTAGTATA